TTTACATCATTCTTACTTTTTCACCCAAAGTATAACCTCATTTGAATGTTTAATTTTAACATTCTAAGAACTTTGAAATGTCCAGTTTTCTTCTTGTGATTAAAACATTATTAATGTTTTTAGGACGTTCATGAAGTACAAATGACATCATGAGGACGTTCTGTGGAACTCATTAAAGTTCCAAAACGTTCCATAAACATGACTTTAAGAACGTTTTGTCCTAACATTTATGTGACTTTTAAGAAACGTTAGAGTAAGCGCTTTGCCGTAATGATTCTTTAATTGAGCCGCTTTCGCTTTAGTGCCGTACCTGATGGATGCGTGATAAAGCTCGTGATTAAGCTCCTCATCAGTCTCTCTCGCTGGAGAGCAGATCATTTTAGACGCATTGTATCCTGCGCTGTTGATTTGAATAGAGCTGATGGGAACACTTCGCATTCAGACGCTTGTTGGGCCATAATTGTGCTAAATAAACCATTAATTCAATCAAACTCTATTATGCACTTGTTCTATTTCACGTACTGAGCTGAGTACAGTAGGAGGAAGAGTCTGGAAAAATGTACAGGTTGTAACCATAAAATCAACAGAAAAATATCATAAATTAGAGAAAATAAAGCCTTTTTATAGGACATTTATTATTATTTTTTTAATGCACAGTGATTACAAAATGTATTATTATTACTGTGATACAATCATCCTGCCCAGACACTTCTTTTAAATGATACGTTTTTAATTAAATAAATTCAAATGTGGTACTTACAAGTGTACTTTCACAATTTCTGTCTTTCTTAATTTTTTATGCATTAATTTTCAGTTTAATGTTATATAATTGGTATCTTTTCAATTTATTTTTTGCATTACTTTAATGATAATTAGGAAAAATATGCTTAATTGTCAAAAAGTCACAATGTACAAAAAATCTGATTTTATGATGATTCTCAGTTTGATAATATAATTAATATTATTTAAATGTATTTAATTTGGTAATTGGGGAGAATTTGCTTAATTGTAGAAAAAAGTCACAATGTGCCAAAAAATTCAGATTTTAAAATGTCATCTTTTTCAGCTTGATAACATTATTATTTAAATGTATTTATTTTTGCATTATGTTAATAATAATTGTGGGAAATGTGCTGAATTGCGAAAAAGTCACAATGCATACATATGCATAAATCAATTTTAAAAATATTTTAAAATGTCTTCAGTTTTTGTTTGATTATATACTGTATAATTACTAATATTTCAATATATTTATTTGTTGTTGTTTTTTTTCATTACATTATCGATAATTGGGAATAAATGTGCTTAACTGTCAAAAAAAGTGCAAAATTATTATTATTATTTTAATCAGAATTTTAAAGGTCTTCATTTTCAGTTTGATCATACATAATATTATTACAATTGATATACCAATTGTTGCATTACATTATTGATAATTGGGGAAAATTGTGCTTAATTGTCAAAAGTCACAATGTGCAATGTCTTTATTTTCAGTTTGGTAATATATAATATACTTAATATGATTTCTTGTTTTTTATTTTGGCTGTATATTTCTTGACATGTTTAGTGAGATTGATCTACAGAGTGATGCATTGCATCAGGTTTCCATCTAAAACAGCTGCTCGCATACACAGACAGTATCGTATCTTTAACAGTGTCTCACTGTCCAGTGTCCAGACTCTGTCTTGTTTATTATTCCTGAGCAGCTCCACGAGCCTGAGATCTGTTCTAGTGTTCTGTGTCTCGGTACATCTAGATAATGCATGACTTACTGCTGCTTCTGCTGCTGCTTCTGCGACCCTCGCTGACCTGCTAAAATAATGCTAAATATACAGTAAGAAGCTCTGAAAACATACTGAGTTTTGATGAGTCAGCGTATTTCTGAAAAGATGCATGCATGCATTCTATTTTGCATGTTTATTTTTATTTATTATGTTTTATTTGATTTTGTTTACTCCATTTATACCAGCATGTATTCATGCATTTTATGCATGTATTTCTCTTTTGTTGCGTGTCTCTTTTTTCTGCACACATGTGAATGCATTCTATTTTGCACGTCTAGTTTTTATTTTACTTTATTTACTCCATTTATTTCTGCACACGTGTGCATGCATTCTATTTTGCTTGTCTATTTATTATTTTTATTTATTTTATTTACTCCATTTATTTTTGCACACATATGCATGCACTCTATTTTTTATTTTATTTTATATACTCCATTTATTTCTGCACACATATGCATGCATTCTATTTTTTATTTTATTTTATTTACCCCATTTATTTCTGCACACATATGCATGCATGCATTCTATTTTTTATTTTAATTTAATTTAATTTAATTTTATTTACTCCATTTATTTCTGCACACATATGCATGCATGCATTCTATTTTTTATTTTAATTTAATTTAATTTTATTTTATTTACTCCATTTATTTCTGCACACATATGCATGCATGCATTCTATTTTTTATTTTAATTTAATTTAATTTTATTTTATTTACTCCATTTATTTCTGCACACATATGCATGCATGCATTCTATTTTTTATTTTAATTTAATTTAATTTTATTTTATTTACTCCATTTATTTCTGCACACATATGCATGCATGCATTCTATTTTTTATTTTAATTTAATTTAATTTTATTTTATTTACTCCATTTATTTCTGCACACATATGCATGCATTCTATTTTTATTTTTATTTTATTACTCTATTTATTTCTGCACACATATGCAAGCATTCTATTTTTATTTTTATTTTATTTTATTTACTCCATTTATTTCTGCACACATATACATGCATTCTATTTTTTTATTTTATTTTATTTACCCCATTTATTTCTGCACACATATGCATGCATGCATTCTATTTTTTATTTTTATTTTATTTACTCCATTTATTTCTGCACACATATGCATGCATTCTATTTTTTATTTTATTTTTATTTCATT